TTTAGTGACAAAACGTATGTCGCTTCTTGACACACAAATAAAAGTAGGTTAGGAATTTCCTATTTGTACATGAAATTGACGTATTAGCAATCGACATTCGTTTTTATTGGTAATTTTTTGTTTCATCTGATTCATGATTGATAAATAAGGATGAGGTTATTCTAAATGGGTACTACAAATACTATATGTGTAGTGTGATGAAAAATGAAAATGGATGAAACAAATTGACGTGTCTCGTAATACCTGGTGTGCGCGCGCAACTCGTGGGTTGCAGGTGAGCGTCCAATGAAAATCGAGTTTGTTACGGGCTTGCGTCATATTCGTATCCAGGGACGAGTTCAGAATTAATAGTTCCTTCTTTCTTTGTAACGTGTAATTCGACAAAGAGCAAACTAATACTTTACGCATTACTTGTGCGATGTTGCCGGATGAAACATTTATCAAAATAAAAGTGCCATCGATGTTAACATACACTTTAAAACTCTTCTTTTGTCTGATGTAAGGCGTTGTACAACACTTGACATATAGCACTTCTCTAATGTTATAATGTTCGATTTGTATTGTCTACATTTGTTTTGCAGCAATACAATCTGGCTACACTGCAGCCACGAGTTGCGCGCGCATGTCATTTTTCATCACTTACCAACTTGTATTTATTACAATTAAGCTCTCTTTTTCTATTTCTGCGAGACACGTCGCGTCGATTTCCTGTTTCTTGCAACAAGTTTCATAAAACTCGTTTCTCTAGTGTGTCGCCTGCCTTAGTGTTCGAAGTGTTAAAAAACGATCACGATAATACCGCTATTAGTTGTATTCCTTTCAAGAGTTTGAAACACTCGAGCTACTCGCTCTGGTGTTTAGTAGCTCCCGATTTGCAGGGAACAGATGCGGGGTGCAACAAACACTTTTCGAAAGGAATAAGCGCAGCCCCGGAGCTGTTCCGGAGCTCCTCCTAGATGTGAAAGGAATACAACTATTGACTGACGTCACCACCTGGCGACCATTAAGTTCAAATTCACATAAGGCGATTTTCAGCCTGGAATGATTATTTATCGGTAAATATCGTTATTATTCTTTTGGTTGACAACTTTGACAGCCAAGTGTGACGTCATAGCCTCCCACCATTCAAGAATCATAACACAAGGAACTGACCGCTGAAATGATTTGGTTATAGCAGTGTAGGATTATGTTTATTATTCTTATTTGTTTTTTCGTTTCAACAATAGTTTTTTGTTTAGGTACAGAAAATGGAGCTGAATCTCTCGTTAGTCTCGTTTATCGAACAGATTTTCTTTGGGGATGATCTAAACATGGTGAATTGCAGTGAGTGAGTGAATGTTTACTTCTTTCATTGTGCCAGGCTACAACGCAACTGCAAAATCACAAAACACCAATACAAATTTCAAAAATAATAACAATAACATCAAAAAGCTGTAACCAAAAGATTAACCCAAGTCCAAAGCTGGGTTATAATCGGTTATAAATGGTAAATACCAAAAGCAAATCAGCTGATATGTGACGTCACAACTTCCCCTACTTTGGTTAAAACCGCGACGGCGGAAATGCATTGGTTATAACCAAATAATAATCATTCCAGACTGAAAATCGCCTATATTTGAATTTTACCGCCCTTTAATAAGGGCCGGTTTCTCAATAGCGAGTCACCTTCGGGTTGGTTTTAACTCCAGGGTAAACGTGTCCAGTTGCAATGTTTACCCTGGAGTTATGCTTAATCCGGGGGTGACTTGCTACTAGTTGTATTCCTTTCACACCTAGGAGGAGCTCCGGAACAGCTCCGGGGCGTTACGCGCTTATCCTTTCGAAAAGTGTTTGGAGTGCTGAAGCCCGACTCGGACCATTTAAATGCATGAAAGCCAGCGCATCTGTTCCTTTCAAATCGGGGTAGACTAACACCGGAGCGAGTAGCTCTAGTATTTCAAGCTCTTGAAAGGAATACAACTATTGAGATTAAGGGCGAATTCTCATGGGCGTAAGTTGACATTTCTGGCGTAATCACGTGATAAAATGGTTGGGTTTTATTGGAAAAATATTTGACATGCTGGAGATTTTACCAATCAAATTACACCATATTATCACGTGATTACGCCAGAAATGTCAACTTACGCTCATGAGAATTCGCCCTAATAGTTGTATTCCTTTCACACCTTGGAGGGGCTCCGGAACAGCTCCGGGGCTTCACGCGCTTATTCCTTTCGAAAAGTGTTTGTTGCGCCACGCATCCGTTCCCTGCAAATCGGCGGCGACTGAACACCGGAGCGAGCAGCTCGAGTGTTTCAAACTCTTGAAAGGAATACAACTATTGACCGTGCGTTCGTTATTTTGGTCCGAGTTCTCCGAGCTTGACTTTACCGTTCGTTTATTTAAAAAGTGTACTCGGTGCAGCCTCATTCGCGTTCGTTTATTGAAATTTCTGGCACTTTTATTCAGCGTTCAACTGCTCTGTTCGCTCACTGATCACGTGATTACGGCTCCGCTCAGCACGCTCTGCTCTTTGAGCAAAATACCGAACGCAAGGTGAGAAACCGGCCCCAAGATATATGTATATCGACACGGAAATCAACCCGAGGTGACTCGCTATTTACTGTATTCCTTTTATACATCGAGTAACACCTAACGAGCTCCTCGGAGTCACTCCAAAACACAATTCAGATTTTATCATTATTTTTTTAAAATTAACATTACCGTCATTACCTAAAAGTAAATAGGCTTCTTCTTAGACAAGGAAAGAGAGGGGACTCGTAACACAGCAGGTGAAAATGAAGCAGTTTGCCACCAAAAAATGTCTGCTTTTTTTGATAACATAACCTAGAAAGCTTATTGTTTTTTGCCTGTTAAATGTAATCCCATCGACTTTTTTTTCTCTGCGGGTTTTGCAGCCATACGCTAGCAATCCACCATGCTGAATATCACAAAAATGTTAGTCTGAAGTAAAATTTACATAGTGGCACCATGAAAAATTGTCGCCATTATTTGGTGGCAAACGGTCACAACCAGCTGCTAGTGCAGGTAAAGGATGTTACGCGTCCTCTCTCTTTCCTTGTCTAAGGGCTTCTTGCACCCCCCGCAAATTTGGTGCATCAGGGGAAAGGGGGATGCACTATGAGCGACTCTAGGGCTTAACGGACTTTTAAAATTAAAAGGAACGTTCAAGCTTTTGACATTGAGCAGCTCAGAGTCACTCGACGGGTAAAAGGAATACAGTAATTGAGAAACCGACCCTCAGACTGCTTCTGCTTATTGCTGAAAAGTAGGTTTGTTTGTTTTTGTTGTTTGGAGCAGCACCTCCTGCTTTGGGGCGTTGGTTTGTGTTATGTTATTAGGGTTATATCTGCCAATAATCTGAAATATTACAGCTCAGTTCAAGTAAGTGCGACACAAACAAACAAACCTACCCTGCGTTCGGTATTTTGCTCAAGGAGCAGTGCGTGCTGAGCGAAGCCGTAATCACATGACCAGAGCCGCTTTCCAGTATGGGAGTGTGACGCCCGGAGCTGCTCGGGGCGTTGAGCTCCCGAGCTGTTCGTACGCGTCAACCTATCAGCTGTCACATCCGTGGGTGGCTATTTATCTATTTATTTCTTGTTATATCTCAAGATTGAACATTTTATAGTTATTTATGATATAAGTGTTAAAAGTACATTTTTAAGGCACGCATGTGAAAGTTTGCAGAATGAGCGAAGCGAATTCTGCAATTCACATAAGTGCCTTAAAAATACTTTTAACATAAATATCATACAATATTTTTTCTACAAACGGCAATAACAAGCAATAACCAGTGACAAATTGGATTTTCAAATGAATAATAAATTGGAAGCATCTTTCCTACGTAAAATTAATGAATTTGATATTTGTCAAAAAATTCAAACAACCAGCACCTTGTTTTACAGGTAATGAAATGTCTCGTCAGTTTCTTAAAAGTCTGTCGTATGGTCTATCGTGGTCAGTAGGCTTTTTGCTAAAAATGCAACAAAATACACAAGAAAAAGAGGGTTGCATCAATCCCATGAAAAATATAGAGGAGGCGGCCGATGGAGCTTCCTCAGTTGTTCAAATTTTACCATTAAAATTAATGTAAAAAATTAAAAATACAAACTTTTTTTGACGTTTGCTTTCAAATTTTGATGTTTCATTTTTAACACTAGTGCCTTAAAGACTTTTAACACTAGTGCGATAAAGTAACATTTTTAATGCTTCGAGGGGGTGTTAAAAGTTGCATTTTTAACACGTTTGTAGAAAAAAATATATAGTTTTGATTCTCTTTCATTTTTGATAAATAAAAAAACAAACTGCACAAACAAACAGATAATTATTTTTAAAATTTGACATATTTGACACTAAGGCGTCTCACGCCATGATACTGGAACGGTACAAATCTATTGCGTGGCGCCCCCGGGGTACTCTAGAGCGCGCCAAAGTGCATACTGGAAAGCGGCTCAGCGAGCGAACAGAGCAGTTGAACGCTGTATCACAGTCCCCGAAATTTCAATAAACGAACGCGAATGAGCCTGCACCGAGTACAGTTTTCAACGAACGGTAAATTCAAGCTCGGAGAACTCCGATCAAAATACCGAATGCATGGCTAGTGTCTGCTAAGTCAGCTGCAGACCTCAACTCTTGCCGTAAAATGCATTATCCAAGTTTAAAACATTATAGGTAAAAAAAAAAGAATTCCTAAACGTTGAAATCACCTTTTCTATATTCAAAATCGCAAGCAATCCATCGAGGTCTGCGGGTGACCTCACAACTATCAGTTGCTGATAGTGGTGACGTCACTCGCAGACCTGCTGCCGACTCGAGAATTGGTGAACGTACGCCATTAGGATGAAAAATCCCGTTCGTTAGCTTGCGATTCTTGGGGATTGCACTAAAAAAATATTTTTTCCAACAAATTTTATTCCGCAAAGGCAAAACCAGTGCAAAACTGTTTTCACAAACCGAAATTGCTATGAAAAAAATAGACTCAAAATCAAAACCAACCAACAGTGAGGTTAGGTTATGGTTAGATAAGTTTTTACATAACACCTCGATTCGAAAGGTCGTTTATTGCTCTCTCTGAGGCCCCATATAAAAAAAAAATTAAAAATGTTCCGTAGTGCTCTAGTACGGGCTCAAGCCAACCTAAAACCGGCCCTAACAGCTCAAACAACCAGAACCATTGCTACAACAACCCAATTATCCTCCAAGCACTCAACAGAATCCGATGAACAATTCGACCAAAGGTACGAAAACTATTTCAACCAAAAAAACATCGACGGATGGGATATCCGTAGAGGAGTCACCGACTTGTGGGGCCACGATTTAGTGCCTGAACCTAAAATTTTGGCCGCAGCACTCAAGGCATGCCGTAGAGTCAACGACTATGCTATGGCTGTAAGGATTCTTGAAGCTGTCAAAGACAAATGTGGTAGAAGGGAAAAAGAAATTTATCCATGGGTTATCCAGGAATTGAGACCCACATTGACCGAGCTGGGAATCAGTACTCCGGAGGAAATGGGCTATGACAAACCCGAGTTGCACACTCCATCTGTGTATGATATGTAAAAAAAAGCATTGTAGAGTTTAATTTATTTTATTTTATTTATTGTACCCAAAGAATTCTCAAATTGGTAACAGAAAATGTTTTTGTTGTATAGTAGTTGTGAAAAAATATTAATAAAGCCTTTGAAACAAAACCTGCTTTCGATTAAGCAAACAAATAGTTAATTTGAAAATGCCGCTCATTGTTCTTATTGGTCGGTAAAACAGAAATCTTCTATGCCAACATCACATTTAATAATGACAATTTCAAAACAGGCAACACGTATACGACATGCGCAATGTAGCTTCATCTCTTTCTACTACACGAGGGAATGGCATATGCATTAAAGGCTGCCAATTTGGGTATGTCCTAGCATTTGACACACTTCTTAAAAAAGTCATTTGCGTCAGTTTGGCCCCAAACAAACAAGATTGCGAATATTCAGAGGTAAATAAGGCAGTTTAAATAGTGAAATAATTGAGAAAAAGTATCTAAAAATCCTCTAGCCGAGTCCTTAAATGTAATACAATCCAAAATGCCCGCTTCGATTGGTGTCAACCTGCGAGTAACTGGTAATTGCCGTCAAGGAGGTCGTAAATATATGGAAGATTGTTTTTCAGTGGCTTATCAGGTAATTGTTTATTTTTTTTGGAGGGAACATTTCTTTCATTAAAATATCATTGTTAATAACATATAGCAAACGGAAGACGAAAAGGATCTAGAATATGCCTTTTTTGGTATTTACGATGGACATGGTGGTGTGGAAGCAGCCTCCTTTGCCAAACAGCATCTTATGGAGATAATTATCAAACACAAGAATTTCTGGAGCGATGATGACCAGGACGTGTTGAGGGCTATAAGAGATGGGTTTATTGCTACCCATTATGCTATGTGGAGAGATCAACGTATGTATTAAATAGCTATAATAATTTTTATAATTTGAAAGTAAAATCTTTTTCATTTTGGAGATTTTCAATTGTATGCAAAATAGTTTTGTTAGAATCTTTTTACAAGGTAGTTGTTTGAGGCTTATGCAGATTTGCTCTTTACCTACTCTTATTTACCAAATAATGTAAAACCACTATGGTTTCTACATGAAAAACTGGCAAATTTAGGGCCAGACCTTGGGCCAGACTTATAGCTATAGGTTTTGAACACATAGAAGGAATTATTGATTATCCAGAAAAATTGAGTCCTGTAGAACGTCATGTGTTGGTTTGGTTAGATTAATTGTCAGTCTTGCAGCTTGACACGAAACGAAATTGATGACTTGCAATGTAAAGACAGCCTTCTCACATGGAGATTTGAAAGAGGATATTCTTATGTATGAACCTGAAGGATTTGATGACAAAATTGGACGTATCTGGAAATTGAATAAAAGTCTTTATAGACTTGGCTCCTAGAAATTTGAATGATAATTCAACATTTTTGAAGACTCTTGGTCTTGGATTCACTAATTCATGTAGAACCATGGTTATCCGAGGGCCGAGGCAGCCTCCAAATTTACATGCTGAAAGAGTCCAAAAACATAAATAGGGGAACCCTCACAAGGGCCAAGGGGATTCAACATCAACCCCATTAACCATTCCAGTATTACATCAAGGTGGGGGGCAGCAGATCATAATACCTCAGATAATCATGGTCTTTAGATTGGCTCAGTTATTCTGGTTCCTAGCGAGCCGTTAGGCGAGCTTGTCACCTTCAAGAGCCAGTAAAAACTGATACCTGGCGTATGATGTACAATAATTTATTTGTTACTCATTTGTAATCAATAAATAAAAAATTAATACATATGTAATACAATTTTAATAAATAATTCTACTGACTTGTAAAAAGTTTTTTCCTACAGCCGTGCGGAAAAATCGATTTTCCGAACTGATATGCGTGCGGAAAATGAGTTTTCCCGCACGGTGCGGTAAAACTTTTTTTTTTGACATATCAGTGCGGAAAAAGTTTTTCCGCATGGCTGTCAGTGCGGAAAAAATTTTACCGCACTGATAGGTATGTCAAAAAAAAAAGAAAAATTTTACATTTTTTCGCCTGTAGGAAAAATATTGTACCTAACACTTGCGGAAAAATTCATTTTCCGCACTTGTTAGGTAAATAGCTATTTCCTACGAGCGTGCGGTAAAGTACCCTTTACCGCACTCATTTGCGTCCCGTAGGGAGTACTTTACCGCACTAGGGCGGTAAAAATTCTTTACCGCACTCAGTGCTGTAAAAATCCTTTACCGCACTGCCACTAGTCAGCCACCAGTTGCAGTTTATTTTTACCTTCAATTTTTACCTTTTCTCTTCAGTGCGGTAAAAATCCTGTACCGCACTGTATTAAAATTTTAAAAAAACATGCATTCAAGGTATTTGCATTCGCGTAATCCATAAAATAAAATCATTTATTGTTTTTAACAATCAATATTTGCTACTTTTTATGCATTTTTACTTCTTATTAGATTTTTATTCCAAAAATAATTTGCTCGAAGGAAAAATTTTGTACCTAACACGTGCGTAAAGTGACTTTACCGCCCTTGACGGCTTGCCCAAACTCCGCTTCGCGTCGTTCGTGCAACTGCCGTCGCGTGCGGTAAAGGACCACTTTCCGCACTTGTTAGGTAAATAACTATTATTTTCAACCACATATGTAATGTTGACATTGCAGGTTTTTCAAAATCTTGAAAGTGTCACATTTCTGGACTTTGACATTTATCGGGACGGTAATGCATATGCCTGCCTAGGACGGAAAAGCATTTTCCGTCCGGGACGGCAAATGCTTTTCCGTCCCCATTTCCCTGCTCGTTCCAAATTGATAATTTTCATACAGCTCTCACATATAATAATAAAACCACATGTATTACATGGAACTAATTAAATCTATTCACTTATTTACATTAATTGTTAAATTAGCATTGTTGTTTATAATGGAAATCTTGAGACCATCCTGTTGGAATTGTGTTTCGTTTGGAACTATTATCTCTTGCGCTTGCGGATGAGTTTCCGCATGTGATGTACTTGTGGATGCACTGGACAACTGAATACCTTTGGAAGTAGAGGATAGCATCAGAGCAGTCTTACTTTTGTTCTCCAAAGATGCCTCTATGTAGCCTTCAGCAACCGTGCTCGATTTCCACCCTCCCAGTCTTTTGAGTTGGAATAGATCGGCCCCGTTGTCAACCAATAAGGTTGCGGAAGTACGACGAAAAGCATGCCCTGTAAAAGTTTCAATTTTTGGAAGCTTCAAAAAAGCAGCTATTTTATGTGGAAATTTTGAGATTGAATGATAGCCAATTGCTTGGTTATGTAATTTCCCATTTCGCCATTGAACAAATAACCTGTCATTTTTCAAATTTTTCCGCAAAGTGAGGTATTTGTGGAAAATAGCAACCCAATCTGGATCGCTTATGATAAACGATCGACTTGTGTAAGTTTTTGTGTGTGGAATTTCTATAGCGATCTTTCCTTCCAAAACGTTGACGTGCTCCATTTTCATCTTGACTAGTTCATCGCTCCTACATGCACCCGACACACCAACAATTAGCGCTACCTGAAACCAGATAAAAATAAAATGGGTAACCTAGCTATAGCATACAGAAAATCATTTTGATTTTCGCATTTTTATCTTCTTTGTATATTTTTTGAAAACCTACCTTGATGCTAATGAATTCTTCAGCTGCCTTCGTGAGGAACTCGTTAATGTTTTCTCTGGAAAAAACGCTCGACTTTTTCGGCTGAAAGCCCAGATTTTGCCGCTTCAAAAAAGCTATAAGTTTTGCGTAATTGGAGATATCAACTTTCTCTTTCAATTTAATCATGGTTTTCAACATACTGTAAGTCGACCATAAAGTCGAAGGCTTCTTTTCCTTAGATAATTCGCCAAAATACGCCAACAAAACGGTCTCCGAGGCAGTATTTCTCGTTCCTTTCTGGCTACACCATGCTTCGAATATTTGAAAAGCCTTTTCGTACCGAAATTTGCTTTTTGCTGGAAGCAAACTCTCTCCAATCCTGTCTGCTGCTTCTTTTAATTCAGGTGGGGTACAATCCATCGCTTCATCTTCACTTTCCGAAATCATTTCTTTGGGGAGAACGGGGAGAAATCTAGTGAAAATCTATTATTTCCGCAAAAATACTGAGCGAAAACTACCGTCGTTAAGGCGTTGTTGATCTTATCTATGGTTGTTGATTTTGCGGTTTCCTGTGGTTTCGTCTTTTGTTTTGGCCTTTACAGGGCCTTTGAGATCGTCAAAATTGATGACATTGACAAAAAAAGTGAAATATTTTTTTCTAAGGCCAGTTTTACACTATATGAAAATTTCGTATAACAGAATCTTTAGTTTTTGCATCAGAAAATTAAGGGTTGAAAATAAAAAAGTATACAAACCTCGACGGAAAACTTCATTTCTGTCTCGAGGTTGAGTTTATCCGGACGCTTCGCGTCTCGATAAACTATAATAACCTCTCGACCAGCAATGAAGTATTTTCCGTCTCGGATTGTAATATACTATTACAGTTTAACTGTCAATTTTACAAGTCAGTAGAGCCAGTAACTAGTAAAAATCAATTTTCGTTGTTTATGTTTTGATTTGATAAATGACGTTTTACAAATGAGTAACAAATTGTTAGTGTTAGTGTTAACTTGTATAAATCTCACCACTGATACTATATTTTAATCTTTTGCATTAGTGAGTTTTGTAAAATTTGGTTGATCTTGTTAGTTTTAAATTTTTGTTTTTAAATTATGTTAGTAAATATAGTGATTGTAGTAGTAGTAATGTTTTGTAATAGAGGGGTGAACCCGTATATCGAATAAATAAATAAAATAAATAAATAAATAAATAAAAATTATAACTCTACTTTTAAAAAAATTAAGTGCATGTGTGCCAGCTTAAGATTAAGCTGGCACACTCTAGTTGGATAAGGTCGAATCTTTGAAAATCTAGTACCTCATATTTACTGCTAATTTACTACATTCATGTCACGCCTAAAAAACTAACAATGATGTATTTATTACAAAATAACCACAAAAAAGTGCTAACTTAAGACTTGAATCAGCACACATAGATAGAATCGACCGCGCGAGAACTGAATTCGCATGCACATATTTAGTGCTAATTTAGTACTTCAGAAACGACGACCCGAAACGAATTAGTATCACATCAGCACAGGCTAGCACTTGTCTGCTGGCTTAGTGTTTAAGTTAACAAACATTATCACCAATGACACGATGAAACTAGAGTACTAAATTAGCACACTTTTAGTGCTAATTTCGTACGTAAGTTTGGGTTAGTTTGGGTTAGCTCTGTGCTGATGTGATACTAGTTCGTTTCGGGTCGTCGTTTTTAAGTACTAATTTAGCACTAAATATGTGCATGCGAATTCCGTTCTCGCGCGGTCGATTCTATCTATGTGTGCTGATTCAAGTCTTAAGTTAGCACTTTTTTGTGGTTATTCTGTAATAAATATATCGTTGTTAGTTTTTTAGGCGTGATATGAATGTACTAAATTAGCACTAAATATGAGGTACTAGATTTTCAAAGATTCGACCTTATCCAACTTAAGATTAAGCTGGCACACATGCATGTAATTTTTTTAAAAGTGGAGTTATAAATTATTTTTTTTCGTACTAAATTAGCACTAAATAGGCCCGAATTTAGTACTCTAGTTCTTTTGATGTGTGCCATTTTCGTTGTGCTAATTTTTGAGACCTCAGTTATTCTAGAGTTCAGACAATTGCAACTCTGATAATCAAGGTTCTACTGTACTTGACGATGATCCTTGTATATTATAAATAAATAAATCTATTGAAGGAAAATTGTCCTATCTTGAAATAGAATAGTTATTTATGTATCAAGGGTACTAAGTAGATGATTATGCCCTGAGGGCGACATCCTTACAAAGCCGAGGGCCTCTG